TTTTTACCCTAATTTTTATTTTCTATCTTTCAATTACTTGTCTCATTCTAAGCATTTGTTCATAAATTGAGACATTGTATTTTATTTATTTAGTAATTAAAAATTTACTTGAGTTCATGGTTTTAATAATGTGGTAGATGAAAGTAGAAAAAAAAATGAAGCATAATACATCATCTAAATTACGTTAAGTCCTATGGGGTTAAAGATTTTATATTTTCATTGCATTAGTAAGTTGTGAAAGTAATTGTAATTGTATTCTTTTGTTTGTACAACTTGAATATAAGTTACTCTTGAACCGAAAAATAACCGAAACCGAACCGAAAAAACCGAAACCGAAAGAAACCGAACTGATAAAAAACCGACATACATGGTTTTTAATTTTACAAAAACCGATATGTTCGGTTCATGTTCGGTTTTAGCCAAAAACCGAACCGAACCGAGCCGTGCACTTCCCTAGAATTTGACACCATAAAGGTGGACGCGTAAGAAGATTCATAGATGAGGAAAGGGTTGTAATTTGACTTTACCTCAGGGTGGCCGTAATTTCTTAAAACAAATGGACAATGTTTAAATCTCTTGTTAATTCCATCTTCCATATTATATACGACTAACTATGGTTTAGGTTTTTCTCAGTTTCGAGCACTGTCAGACCAGTTTTATCGTACTCCAGAGCATCACAAATTTGTCAGACAACAAATTGTAAATCAGGTTGGCAACTTTTTCTCGTGTCTGAATCTTCGGCTTTTCCTTAAAAGAAAAACTGTATCTCGATTCTTCTTGAACTAATATTTCATCATTTCGAATTTTCTAGCTTAGGTCTTGCCCAGAGATATACGAAGGATATGTACCTATGGCTTACGACCAATATCTGGCAAAAATGTCCAAGTATATTTTTTATTTATAACCCCGCACTTTAATTATTTGATCACTCGTTTCTGTACCTATTTTTTCTTACATTTTGTGGATCGATATTAGGAACGGAGAGTGGGGAGATCACGTCACTTTACAAGCTGCTGCTGATTCTGTATGTTTTTTTTTTTTTTTTTTTTTGGTAATTTAGGTAAAATTCGTCATTCGGTAATTTAGTACTGGTAAAAAAAAATCTGATTCTACAGAATGTCTCGATTTCTTGTTTCTTTAAGTGTGTGATTCGTACATAGTGACGACTGTTGTTGACTTTATGCAGTATGGCATAAAAATATTTGTCATTACATCGTTTAAGGATACCTGTTACATTGAGATTCTGCCAAGCATTCAAAAGTCCGAACGAGGTAAATTCTCGATCCTCAATTATTCGGTTTTTTCTACTTTCTAATCGGGTTTTGTTTTTGTAGTAGTTTATGTATGTTGAACAAAACGTAGTTATTTCTTTCTTGTGCAGTTATTTCTCTGAGCTTTTGGGCTGAGGTTCATTACAACTCGATATATCCCGAAGGAGGTACTAATAATGTCAACTCGGTTATTTCATATTTTCTTCGAACTCGAGAATCCCCATTTTGCTTTGTCACAAAACTGAAATAAATTTTTTACACAATTTCCTCGTACTATAATTAAATTGCAGATTGCCCAACATTTCGGACAAAAAAGAAGAAGCGATGGCAGGCTGCTCAACACGAACACGTGGAATTACCAGACGACTATAATTAATTAATTAAAGAACGGTATATTAAGAAGACACCTAATATCATTCCCACATTTTGTTTATTTTTGCAATTTCGTTCTTTCTAAAATAGCTCGTTCGTGTATCTGTTTCGTCTACAGGTCACTTGTATGCAGGGATGCACCGCCAAATCTTCATCATACTCCAAAAGTGTCGATTATTTTCTCAACTGGTGAAACTATATCTGATTCTTTCCGAATGAAATAAATCTCGAAACACGAAATATTTATCCTCCATTTTTTTGCTCTCATCGTTGTCCAGAACATTAATTATGTATGCCTCTTCGGAAAATCTTTCAGATTGTTTTGATCCATGAAAAAACTATTTACTGTGTTATTGAGGCTGCTGCCTTGGTTACCGTAAATCACGGCCCGTTTTTTGCCATTCGAGCTCTACGTTTTGAAATAATATGATCTTAAGTCTATTGGCTTGTAAAGTATCAGATTGTCGTGCATAAAAATTGCGTTTTTGCACAAAACGAGGATAAAATAAACAACATCCCACGAAATCTAGAAGATTATGTTGAATTTGACTCCATAAGAGTAGATGCATAATTACTAATTACCCAAACATGATAGGGTTTTTGGTAATTTAACCTTTTCGTAATTTACCATTTATGTAATTTACCATTTATCTTAATGAGTATAACTTCCTTATTGGCGTTGGATTGTTAAATACATCTGCCCTTTTAATAAGAAAATAAAATATAGTAAATAAAATTATTTACCATTTTTTTCTTTTTCGAGAAATGGAATAATTTACCTTGATAAATATGTAACGAACACTTGCATTAAGAAATAAAACTTCACCCGACTCATTTTATTATTTCAAAATCCTTTTCTTTTAATTTTTCGACCATATATACATTCAAATCGTAATTAATTTTGAAGGAATTAGTAAAAACATTAAAAAATAAAAACCAAAAAAATCATGAA